CTTTATATCTAACAAAAATGTAAACTACTGAATTATGATGAGTGATGATTACTTTGTGATTGTGCGTGTAATTATCCATATTGGCTCTAGTTATGTAAATGGCACTGTGCAAGTAACCAAACGGGGCTCTGGCATTCATCAAGTGCCGAATTTAATATGTTTTAATTATAACTCTTATAATATTGTAACGTAGAAAATTAGAAAAGACAAACCTCAGGATGACACAGCGATTTATTTAATGTATATATTGCCACGTGGAAAATTAGGTAAGACCAACTTCGGGATGAGACAAAAATTTATTTCAGGCAAGAACGAACTATGAGTGATAAACAAAAGATAAGCAAAAGAGGGAAGTGTACAGAGTAGCAAAATATAAACATAAAAAAAATAATACTCTGCTAATAAAATAATAAATACTTTGTGAAAAAAATAGTACAAATGGGATATTGTACTGGGATAAGGTGCATAAATTATGAAAAAGGCATCTCCTTATCGTGCAACTGAAAATTGTTGATGGCTTGCGCCATCTATCGGAATAAATATCAACTATTCTCGTTGATTTTTAATTATTCCAAAATTGGCCAAATATCTATTCGTGATTAATCAAAAAAAGCTAACCACGTCTTGATTGTTACAATATATTTATAACCCAGGGAGCACAGAACACCAACTACCCGGGGAGTCCAATCACTAGTATGGGCTAGTGTTGAGCGCTTTTACTCGCGCCCTGTTTTGATTGCTGAGTTGAACCAGTTGCCCAGGAAGTTCCATGCTAAGGTTGAGTCTGGGAGGCTGGCCATAGATGTAAAATTGAGGTGAGTCAGTCCAAGCAGTACAAGTAATATAAAATAGTAGAGAAACAATGAGAAAATTTTACAGTGTATCAAAATAAAAATATCGAAATTTAAAATCTTTCCATAGAATAATAAATAATCTGCTCCAATATTACTACCATACCTTTCTTTTTCTTCACACACTCTTCTCACTTTTCAGGCAAGTTTATTGTGTCATTGCGTATTTTACTTAAGTAGTTAAAAAAACTACTTGATAATAATTAATTAGAGCTCTTTTTTTTTTACCAAAACACGTACATACACGACTACAATTAGTAAAGAGAGAGAGAGAGAAACCTTCCTGAAAATAAATTCTTTCAAAAAAATATATCGAGACATATTATTCTGTAAAAAAAAAAAGAAATATATATATATGTGGAAGCAATGGTCGCCTCTCCCGTCAAAATAAACGTCAGAATCTGACGCCATCTATTGACCGTCGCCGCAACTAGCGGCATCGGGTCGGTGACAAAGCCACAACACCAACTTTGGCAAACTGATAAGCGTCCACCTAGAGACCATGGTTTCGGGCTAATGGCCCTCGTCAGTCTAGGGCGGACTTTATTCCATGAGATCCGCACGGGATCTAATGGAATCCTCACAATCTACCAAAGAGGTGTTTTTCTGGCAATGTGGCTGGGCCAAATCTATTGGCAAATTTTCCATCTATGTTTTGCCAATAGATTTGGCCCAGCCACATTGCCAGCAAAACACCTCTTTGGTAGATTGTGAGGATTCCATTAGATCCCGTGCGGATCTCATGGAATAAAGTCCGCCCTAGACTGACGAGGGCCATTAGCCCGAAACCATGGTCTCTAGGTGGACGCTTATCAGTTTGCCAAAGTTGGTGTTGTGGCTTTGTCACCGACCCGATGCCGCTAGTTGCGGCGACGGTCAATAGATGGCGTCAGATTCTGACGTTTATTTTGACGGGAGAGGCGACCATTGCTTCCATGGATTAATTTCCTCCCGGCAAATTTTCCATCTATATATATATGTATAGAGCAATCCTCGTAAAATATGGACGATTGGTCCATCGAAATATTGGATTAATAAATAATCTTATTACAATCCAAAATAAGCCTTATTTTAAAAATATTTATGTGTGTGAAAAAATAGAAAAAAATAAAAAGGTCGGGCTTTGATATTATTTTTAATATATGTGTGTGTGTATGGTGTATCGCTAGAATAATCAGTAGCATATCCCAGCTAATTATGATTATAATGACTCTAATAATGCGTACGTGGAATAAGTAGAAAAAAAATAGAGGTCAAACGGATGTCCACCAACTCAGACGTAGGAGCTTTCAGAGATGGCCGATAGATGGAGCGAGCGTCGCCATGTCGATTCTAAAGGGAGTTGTCAAATTCTTTTATTAGAAGGCCATCCGCCGTTCTTCGCCATAAATATTTACACCTTTGTTTCATCAAACTCCCCTTCTACGACAATGCTGGTTTGTTCTTTCTTTTTTTGACGCAATATGGGGTTTATCACATCCCAATATCTTATAGATATTGTGTTTAATATTTGGAAAATAATACTCCATATATATATTTTATATGATTGAATAAATATACACTACAACATAATGTTATGAAAACTTTGAACTATTATAGACGTGTATGATTCTTTTAAAAATTAAACAATTTTCTACTGCTCTTGATACAATAATAAAAGAATGGGAGGGCCTGGCTCATCAGTGCTGAACCCTCCAATTATTTTATCATTACAGTAAGGGCAATAGAAAGTTGTTTAATTTAAACATTATCCTAGGAATCTAAAATAGTGTCAAATACTACAGAACGATTCTATTTACATATTATATCATAACTTTGCGCCATCTATCAACGTAAATTATAAACATATTTTATTAACGCTACATTTTTTTATAATAAATAAATAAATAATTATATATCCCTCTTTCAATTTTTAATCTTCTCAGGATAAAGGCTGTAAAAAAATAAGTTCAATTATATAATATTTTTAAAATGAAAAATAGCGTTAAAATTATATTTATAATTTTAACAGATGAGATTTCACCATAATCAGGAAATAGGTAGTATTTTTCTATTTTAAGTTTGTATTTTTAAATGTTTTTGGTATTTGTTTAAAAAAAAAACTGGTTATTTTGGACATTGAACTCTAAAATATAATATCGTTAAGTGTTATAAACCCATCGGTAAGATTATAAAAATAATATAATTCGACATTTTAAAATTATACTGCATGTGTTTATTCCCATCCCTAGATACTTTTATTTTTCCGTTTATCATTACACTTCACAATTTATCCTTTCATACCTCATTGCTAAGGTTAGAAATAATCGTTATTTCTGCTTGAAATAAATTTGGATTTTTCGTTGAAAATAAACACATGCGGTATAATTTTAAAATGTCGTTTTACAATAACAAGCCGCATTATATTGTATTATAAAATATAATTCGCTGAGGAACGAGTTTGTTTTAAAATCACGACAAGATATCAGGTGTAACAGCCTTTCGACATATATACATACTTTCATACATACGACATATTCATTTTATGAAAATGATTATTTTTATTTTTATTTTTCGTATGTAAATAATATTGTACATCTATATATACTCTTTCTCTCAGCTTACAGCTTGGCCTGTGGAAGGATTGAAAAGATCCGAAAGCTTGCATTAAATTTCACGTATAAAGAAACGTATTGCTACCGTTTATTTTATTTTTATTTCATATATACATACTGTAGTCTCTACCAATACCGTAACTAAATACTAAAAGTACACTAATATTAGTATAGTAGTTATTCTTGTCGAGGTGCTGATACGTCCGAAAGCTTGTCGTGATAAAAATGAAAAGAAATTCTTCTCTCAGCGTATTTTCTTTTATCTAAAAGGAAAATTTACCTCACCTGTCAAAATAGGCGCTAAACCAAGCGTCATTTATTTAACCGTGGTATTAAATTCGAGTCTTATTTTGACAGGAGAGGCGACCTACGAGTACTATTAGTTTTTATAGATCAATTCTGGCCTAATTTTCAGCTAAATTGTGGTCATAGAATTAGCCTGGCCACGTCGAGAACTAAATACATTTTTTGACAGTTTCTGTGAATAGCATGTATCCCTCGTAGAACTCACGAAATCAATGTTATTATTAGACTGAAGAGAGCCCATTAGACCGAAAACATGGTCTCCAGGTCGACCTTCTCCGTTTTCCAAAGCTGGTATAGTGCCTTTGTAACCGACCTGAGTCCGATAGTTTGCAAATACTGTCAATAGATGGTGCTTAGTCATAACGCCTATTTTGACGTTAGAAGTTACTTTTTTTATTATATAAATCAATATCTTATGTAAGTAGAATAGTCCTTCTACTTTTTTAATGTGGAGATACTTTGTCCAAACTTACAGTAAAATTAGTCGCTACTAACTACCCACCATGATTATCCTGTTTTGTATCATGTTTTTTTTTTTAATCCCTTGTACAAGTGATTCATACCATGGTGCGTAAAAGTTGGCGGCTGGTTTTACTGTAAGTACACCACGTATTATTTTTAGGAAATGAGAACATTAAGACGCGATTGTTTTTTTTTATACATATAAATCAAATTTCGACACTGCCAATATTGCGATGAAAAAAAAAAGATACTTACACATGTAGAAAGCTGAGTTCGAATTTTGCCCTTAAAAGTGTACAGAAACCCTGTTTAGTTACTTGAACCTGTTTGTGGGGTTAGACTTTTACAAGAATCGGGGAGATTGAAACACTTTTTAGTGACATCTTGTCAATTATGTTTTACAAAATTAATGAAGAATAATGGGAATATTTACAATGATTTATGAGTGAGGAAGGCTTCACCATCTCGATAGGGTCCTCCTACAGACCAGGAGGGGGTCCTCTTGGGGCCAGGAAATGCTTATATATTCGGGTCTTGGCAGATGCCATAATGGCCAAGGCGTTGTCCTCCAGGTCAAGATCCAGCTCTGCAAGTCAGGGGGGATGATGGTGAAGGCCTCCACGATGACTGGCCTGATCCGCCTACAGGACCAGTAGCGGACACGAATCGGGAGCATTGTAGTATTTTTTATTAGTAAAAAAGGTTCCCAGTGTATGCGGGATTCGATACCGGATCGTAGCTGTCGGAAAACAATGGTTTAGATTACTCATCCACCAAGGAATTAGTTTACAACATCACCAAGTGGTCACCCTCCCAAATACTGACCAGGCCTAACATTGCTTAACTTCAGTAATCGTCTAGATCGAACCGCAGTAGTTTACAATGTAACATGGCTGTAGGAATGTGTATTCAGGGATATATATAAACCAAAAGAAGTAGGTGTAAGTGAAGACAGGTAGTGTACACGACGAGGTCCAAACAATTAGGAGCCAAAGTTTGGTATCGACCCAAAGAAGGAAGGGCAGGGCAACAAATAAGCGGACGGTGGGAAAGTACCAGCTGGCTGGACTTGTGTTGAATTCCTCCCGCAACACATAATTGGACCCAAATTATGGCTTCTTTCACCACACACACAGTCTATGGATTTTTTCTCTCTCTCTCTTCCAGTAGTGCTTCTTCTTTGATTATTATTATTCACCAAGAGTTCGCAGTAGACAGGTCAGTATTCGCCACCACGGGGTGCATCAACCTCTTCTAGTAAGTAAGAAAATGGACGCGCCCATATCTCTTAACAAAATTCTTCAATGGTTTAGATATATGCAAATATCAACAATATTCACTTTGAGTAAGTAAATGTCCATATATTGAGTTGCATAGTAATTGCAAACGTTTTTATTCAACAGTAACGTTTCTATGCATTCATGATTGTCAGGTTTGTCTGTTTAGACAATTACAAAATGAAGTAGGTGACGCAGAACTTTCACTAAGGCTAACTCCATATATTAATTTGCATAGTAATTTCGAAGTTTCTATTCAATAGTACAGTTTAAATGCATTCACACAAACACATGATCGTCAGGTTTGTTCTGTTTGGATATTATAAAAGGAAGTAGATGACGCACCAATTGTTTTAAATTAAAAAATAATTCCAGTAGCTTTTAGAGGAGTCTTTCTTTAGCTAAAAAGTGAACATTAACTTTGAATGTGAATGAATAGTACAAATGTGACATTGTACTGGGATAAGATTCATAAATTAAGAAAATGGCATTTCCTTATCGTGTAACTGAAAGTTGCTGATCGCTTGCGCCATCTATCGGAATAAATGTCAACTATTCATTGATTTTTAATTAATCCAATTTGGCCAATTCTGGAATAAACCATCTAAAATGCTCATGTGATCAGTCGAGATAGGCTTATTTTATTTATTTTGTAATCAATGTATAGTTGGTATTTATTCCGATAGATGGCGTTTTGTTGTCTAAAAGTCTCTTTAGAGTTGTTAGGATATGCTTATTTAGACTTGCCTCTCCTAAATATAAAACTGCTTTGTATCTCGGTTGACAGCTAACTGTCATCTTCAGGGTATAAATACCGATGGCTATATATATGTAGTGGTTTTTTCCACATGAAGTGGGTTGAAATAATCGTAGATGTCGTAGTTTCTTCCTTTTTTGCATATTTTCCCTCAAATATTTGAAGCACTGAGGTATTAAATGAAAAAAAAAAGAGTATCAAAAAAATATGCAAAAGAGTTAAACTTATTTTTCATATCTCTTGGTATTTTGTATTTAAAAAGACAGGAGTTTTGTAACCTTGATATAATTGTGTTTGATGTAAAATGAAATGGCGTTATACTATCGAAAATTCTCATTTAAGTGGTCGGAGTATGCCTATTTATCAGAGTATTTATGTAAATAACAACTTGTGTATATATATATATTACAGAGGTATTAAAATTGTTACATATGCAGTTTTTATTCACTTGATAAGGACATCACTAGGAAAAATATAAAAAGAGTATGTAAATTATTTTCAACATAAAGCATTGTAGTTTAAACTGAAGAAGCCACTGGAAGGTTCATTATTGATGAGCCAGGGGCCCTTCATATCTTTTTCATAACTTTAAGGATAGCAAAAAATTTGTTCTATTTGGAAAATAAATGAAAAATTGTGATTAATAATTTCATTTGGTATATTTAAATTATTTTTGGTATTATAACAAAAAAACCCTCAAATTCTTGATGATAAATATTTTATATAGAAAATAAATCTTTTTTTTTTGTTATAAATGATAAAATAATATATCGTGGAATTCTACCCTCATCATAAAAAAATAATAATAATTTAGACCAATTTTTGAAAATTAATATTTTTTAATCATTTATTATGAAAAAAAAGTTTTTGGAGAGATAAAAAATGGGAGTTTATCAGAACATAATCGAGTATATTTAATAATCAGGTCATTTCACGGTGTCGTAGCTCCCATTATATTGTAATGGGCGAAACAGCGGCGGCGGTGGCGGCAGTGTCAAAAGAGTTAAATAGGAGGACAGGACTAAGTATCTTGGTCACGGAAACTGATGGAAGCTGACTTTGTAATTAGAGAGTACACTAATGGTAGGATGCTTATGGCTGGCTCATCAATGTTTCATGGTGGACAGACAATTTTTACACCTTCACCATGGTATAATGTCACTGGAAAAGTTGCATATAAATTTGTTACTTTATGGACAGTTTATGGTTGTCTCGCTCTCTCTTTAAAACTGTTGTTTATATTAGTGTTATATTTACATATTAGTTCTTATTATTTTTCTGTGTTTATTGATATGTTAGTTTCTGTATAATTGATATAGAATAGAAGGATATTTCTTGAGAATATGCAAAATTGTTTTAAAAATAGCATATTGCGAAAGAGTATATATAATTGCAAATTCGATGTGATTATATATGCTTTTGTTGTGTATGTTTATTGACTTGTTAGTTTCTCTGTTCTATGATTGTCAAAGAATAAAAGGGTTGTTCTTGAGAATATGTAAAATTGTTTTAAAAATAGTATATTGCGAAATGGTATATATATTTGTGTGTATATGTTAATGTTAGAGTTTTATAATCCTTTTATATACATTTCCTTTATATATATCCTTTTATATAATCCTTTTATATATCCTTTTATATAATACTACTTTGAGAGAAATAAATTCAGGTTGGTTTGTTATCTGAAATTTCCAAAACTGGTGTTGTGGCTCATTCTTTATCACCGATAGTAAAGTTCTTTACTAGGGTGATAAACATAATGCATTATGTTCTGATGTATAATTAAAGGGAGAGGTTCCTCTTTTGGTAATATTTATATATATATATAGGATTATATATACTTATATAGGGATGTGTGCGAAATTATAAGATTACATAAATTAAATTGCATAATAAAAAAATATTCAAAATTAATAAAAGTTTTGTATTAAATTTGAATACCTTTATCAATTTTACATAATGAATTTCACCTAGAAATATTTATGTAGATTTTCTGTAAATTGAAGATGGTATATAATGGTAATGAGAAAAATAGTTGATTGGAATATTGTAAATTTATTGAGATACACCACAGCTTTCATCCATATTTGGTATGTCCTTCTTCAGCACGTATACAAGCAGCTACAGGATGAGACATACAGGTTTAATTTTTTATGGTATTTGGCATTTTTGTTTTCTTCCTAAAGCTTTAAAATATATATTAATTGATTTGAAATGTATAAAGAATAAAATCTGAAACCTATCTAAATATTTTTTAAATTCGTTCTCGTTCATTGTTATATATTTCTGACATTCGTATAAAATAGAAGTATCTAGGATAAATGTAGTTTTTGAAAGTAAATATTATGTCACTTTCTTTATTTGATTTTCATTGTGAAGAGTGAAATAGTTTTATGGCTACAATTATTCTCTGCCTAGAAGATAAATGTATTTACCATTTGATTTGTCTAACGGGCTTTTTTTGTGATTTTTCTGAAGGGCATGCTCGATGCACTAATTTGCATATGCTCTTAAATAATCCTCATACAAGTTATTCCTATTCAAATAAAAAACGGCACATTTTAGATCGAAAAATGACTGTTTTTTTTTTTTTTTGCATGTTGATATTTCTATGATCAGAAATTTCGTCTTTCTTTTAAATTCCTACTCAAAAGGATGTTCTGATTCGTCGAAATATGTAAATAAGTAAACCCTGTTCACATTATTCGATTAAAAAAAGTGTTGTTTTTTATATGAATGTTGAATTATATGGATATCAATATTTTAGATAGAGATATCCTTTTATATATCAGCCTAGTACAATAGTAAAGCCGTTTGGAGATTAAATTAGCTTAACTTCTGTGAAGGGTTTACTACTGATGAGCCATGCCCTATCAGTTTACTTTTATCGATGCTGTATATAGGTTAATAGAAACAGTTTTAAATATATAAAAAGTAGCATTATATAAGAATCAGTTTCCATTTTCAGTAATGGATATCGATAAGATGATATTTGAAATATATTTACATATATATGTAACGTGGGAAGTTGCATACCGGCCTAATAAGCCCTCCATATATACATATATCCAGGACGTGGCTAAATAAGGAGTTGGGAGCAAGTTTGAACAAGGGACCGGGAGTCCATTAGGTGGTTCCGAAGCCTAAGGCAAGGAACCCTGACGAATCAAAGCCGGCCTAAGATAAATATTAAATAATGTGCTGCTGCTGCCCTCTATAAATAATATTTTTTACTTCTCTTTCGTCTGAATGTTTTATAAGGCCACTGCGACGTCTGCTTTTAGCCGGAGTTGTGTTTGCCGCGCTTGCCCTGCCTCATATTTTATTCAATTATTACTTCCACGGGTTTGTGTGTCCATCTTATACCATATTAATTAATTTTATATGCTTCTCATACTTTCATCTTCTGTAATATATTTGCATACTTTGTGCAAATTGGTGGCGTATATATGTAAATAGGATTTTATATAACTAAATAAAAGACAGTCTATACTACGACGTGGTTCTCTATTAAACTTCAAAAGTTGCTCCTCAAAAGGAATATATCAATTATATGATGTGTTTATGTTAATTTGTTATTTACGTTGTAACCTGGATATGTAAATTAATAGAGTGAAATGAATTTTATATACTCTACAATAAAAACATTAAAAATCGCTAAAAATAAGCCTTAAAATAGTGATGCATATGTAAGACAATGATTAGAACGAGGCAACTAGTCTATTCAAAATACTCCTAAACAACCATTTTATTTATAAGGCGAGGTGGCCTCAATTTTATAAACATTAAAGGTTGCTAATGAGGCGCGGTCGCTAGAGATGGTACGGTCACTGCGTGGTCGCTAGAAAAAGTGATGTTGCTAA